ATTTTGAATTATCACATCCATCAAATACTTTCCATTTGAAGTTTGTTTAAACTTCCTGTAGGTGCGAAGTTTGTGAGCTCTCTGAATCAGATTTTTCTAAATTAATGTCACTCTTCCACTTTTTTGAATAATCATCTTCTATTTTTTCTAAAACTCCCTTCACACTTTTACTATCCCCCTTCCAGTAATCATTAATATTATCAACACCAGTTATTTGACTGATTGTTGTTGCCCACTTTGTTTTGTTGTCGATATTGTAAGACATTGCCTCATGAATTAGAGTGTTTTCTTTCACAGTGCATGATCTATGCCAGTATTTTATCATCATTTTATTAATAAATACTGACAGTGGATGTCTACCCAGCTCTCCTCTTACAGCCAAATCATATCATATCATATGAAAGTTTATGGTGCATTTCATCAATTAATAAATAAATGTGAAAATCGTAATTTTCAACACAAATAATAGTCTCGCTACCTTAATTCATTTTAGAAAGGCCCGTTTTCTCCAGGGAACTACCATATATATCCTCAAAACTTTGGTGATGATGTTGGCTTGAATTAAGGGTCAAAATATTTTGGGGGAAAATGCAAGGAAGTTTAGGAAAAGATCTGGAAAAGTCTTGAAAATTATTTGGCTCTTGGTGCTATGGACCCTGTAATAGATGTTAGTGTCTATGGTTATCTGATATTGGACCCCAGATAGATTTAAATGTTCAAAAAATGCTCAAAGTAGAGTATTTGGCTCAATTGCTTAGGACATTAAAAATGGGTTTTGCTTCTTGCCGTCATACACGTCAGTTTGAAACCTCCATGTCAAACTTTTTTGTTTTCAATTTTGAGTATTGGTGAAGTGTGTATCACATGGTGCAATTGAGAATTGTTTTCAGAAGATACTTTGTCTATCCAAATCAAGCTTTAATGCATGTATTTGAAAACCTTATTAGTCCCCATTTGTACAAAGTACGAAAATAGGGACTTATGGATTGACCTCCGTGCATTTGTCCATGTGTATATCTTCTCGTCCATCCATACCCTGTCACATGTCACTCGTACATCAGACATTATATCTGACATTAACACTTTCATTTGTTTGAAGATTCTATGAATGTAGTTCTTGATCCATATATTCAACATGCCTGGACTGATCAAGTTTAAATTTCATACAGACATCAGACATCATATTTTACATATACACATGCATTTTTGTTGCCATCAAATCTAAAATAGCTGACTGGCAGTCATCTTATTTAAATAAATTCAATTCCACAGACTCATATCTAAACATGTCTGAACCAATCTTCACACATATATCACACATTAGTATATATATATCTAAACTATAATACAAATGGGGACTAGGTCATTGACAATGTCTTGTTCACTCAATTTTCCCCATTCCCCCGCTTCCGTGATAGGGCTTTTTGTTATTATAAACTATTATAAACTATCATCTTAACTGACTTCTCAATATATAGGTGTGAACAGACTAGATAGAGAATTAACTATTGGTCAAATGCAAGGCAAATTCCAAATGCAAGTACTTCCACAATGTGGGCATTCAGTCCATGAAGATGCCCCAGAGAAGGTAACATATACTTCAGTTGATTTTGATATACGAAGATTGCAATCCTTGTTCTAGAATAATCTCACATGTATTTCAATTTCATTGAAATATAATATTTTGTTGCTCTTTTTCAGGTGGCTGAAGTTTTAGCCTCATTTATGGTACGACATAAATTTGCAGAGCCCACTGCTGATTTCAAAAGGTTTGTACCGGGTCTCACATTGCCCGTTCTCGAAAAGTTGATTTAAATTACTGAACTCTCCACTTTTTCCTTGAACCAAGTTCAATATAACTTTTACTTACAGCATCCAGGGAATTCAAAACTTTTAAACTATAGAAATATTATGTCTTTCCTTTCAATGAACACAAGAATGTTTCCTAGAAATGCACAAATCTCCAGATAATTCCAAACTAAGTATATCAGTGTTCCATAACATGGAAGGAATATGTCCATGTTGTGTTCTAAAGCATATAAAAACAAAAAGAATGTGTTTTCACTATTGTACAGTAGTCTAAGAGCTTCTACTGAATTATTTGAAGGTTTCAGATTATTTGAGGTGTTGATGACTTTGAGGGATGTAAGTGAAAATTGTTTCATTGATAATTTTTGTGAAAATACCTGGGGTGAGTCTCTCAAATTTGTGCATTTCATGATAATACAAAAATATATTTTCTTTAACTTTTTCAATCCCACATATTTCAGCAAATAATTATTTTCTTTTACAAACTGATTTTTATTTCAAAACTAATTAAAATTGCTTTCAATTACTGTGCAGGAGCCCTGTGTGGTTCTTTACCTTATTTTTCTCATTGATTGACTTTCCATGTACACTGACCACTATACCTATTACTATTTTGTTTGTGCCTCTATTTTTTATACCATAGTTTTTCTGCATTTATTGTTTAATGTGTTATTTTGTTTTATTCCTCAAAAGCAATTTTAAATTCTGTAACATTGTCAACATAACAAGACATAGTTCACATTCTGCAACATTTTCAACATAAGGCAGATACATTCTGTAGCATTGTCAACATAACAAGACATAGTTTACATTCTATAACATTTTCAACACAGACAGATACATTTGTTACATTGTCAACATAACAAGAGAGATACATTCTGTATCATTTTAAACATAAGAAAGATACATTCTATATCATTTTCAACATAACAAGACAGATACATTCTGTAACATTGTCAACAAGTCTTATAATTTCCACAACGAAGCCTAATTAAAAAAAAAAAGAATTCTGCATAAAATAATTTACCATAATTTCTTAACAGGGTAGTTAGTTTCCTGCAATTTATTGGGGCTTGTAGAGTACTTAAAGAATACAATTTTTGTATTAATTACACACACTATAGAAAGTTTATTATGAAAGAAAATTACATTTTAATTTACAAACTTCCATAATATTTACACCTTTTATAATATCATTTATATATACAATATTTGAATAATGTATTTATTGTTCTCATGTAATGCACAAGTGTTGAATGCTCTAAAATACTGTTACCATACTGTATTATTATTTATCTACAGACCAATGCCAGCATGTTAAATATACTAATAGCATGGATACCAGCTACACACAAAAGTCTATTGTCTACAATGGATACAGGGCAAACTATTAATACCATAGATATCAGCTGTGTCTGTTGTCTAGAAAGACCTAATACAAGGAATATTAATAGCATGGATACCAGCTACACACATAAGTCTATTGTCTACAATGGATATATGGTACATTATTAATGGCATATAGTATATATCATGTGTCTACAAAGACTTAATAAAAGGAATATTTATAGCATGGATATAATCTATTCATGCATCTATAGTCGACAATGGATATATGGCTAAATAATTGTATAGCTATATTGCTGTATTCCAATGCCATTTGATACAAGGAAAATGAAGAGCATGGCCAGATATCTGCTGTATTTAAGTATATGAAGTGTAAATGTACAATTGGATACATGATATATTAATAGATGAATACCATATCTACAAATGAATACTTGACAATTTAATAGCAAGAATATTATCTGTATATATCAGTAGTCTACAGATGGATACTTCAATCATGCAGATTATCGTCGACTTAAAATGTCAGAATGTCTTGAATCACAATTATTGTTACCATTGTTCACAGCCATCAAGATGCATTCCTTAATTTATTAAGTGGTTAGTCTGCCATCATTGTCCCTAAACTGGGTTAGAATTAACGACCCACGGGTCATTGCATAATGGCAATGGTATTACACCAATCTACAGAATGTAGGAATGTGTCATTGCACAATTTTAGGTTCATTAAAGAAATGTTGTAAAGCAATATACTGTTAATATGACTGCTTAAAGATTTAGTTAATTGGATTTAATTTCTGATATGTTTCACTGGGAATGGTTGAAGGTAGATGTGATTAAGTCGTGTGTATTGCAGAGTTGTGATTTTTATGGAGTTTTTCTATGATATTAGAAAATTAAAATTCTTACAACAGTGAAACCAACATTTGTCATTTATAGTTTTCAAGTTTGATATTTGTGATGCAACTTGCACTTACAGCATTGTTTGAGGGGCGGCAGTCGTCATACCATGTTTGCGAGAGATATATGGGTCTCGTATAAACAAATATGGCGTACAAACTGAGACATTACCAAGCTTTAATTAGGTATTTTTTGGTGATTGGAAGGTATTGAAGGATTCACCAGCGGTAATTAGTGCAAGTCACGCCCAGGTCACACATCATACATTAGTTTGACTCCTGTGTTCTAGGCATCCAATGGGAGTCTTTGTGGTTAATTAATTCTGTGTGTGTAAGTGCAGAGAGAGAGAGATTGTCTCTGTGTGTGTCAGTCTCTGGGTATGAAGAACCAATTTATTTGAAACATAGATGATTACTTGCAGCTTTTTACTAAAATCTGTGCATATTGATTACCTAATTTACTTATTAGCCTTTTTTAACCTATTCTAGAGAACTATTTTAATAGTTCCATTGTATAATGGAACTTTGTACATACGTGCTTTTGAATAATCCGCAGATCTGATATACTTCAGGGTTGAAATTCATACATATTAATTATCAACCTTTTTTTAAATGGATTCTGGGACTTTTGTAATAGCACTGTTGCAGACAAGGACATGCAACTAGTGCTATAATGGAGGCATTTGGCAAGAGATGTAAATAGCATACCTGTCCATATATGGACTTGTGAGCTCATTAATATGCATAAATGTAATATATCGGACAAAGTCAAGTCTCTGGTTAAAATACAATGTACTAAAATGGTTTTGAATGCAATAAACACAATGTGAATTGGTGATGCTCTTCTAATATAGTAATTAATGTAAAAGTATTCCTAATTTGTACTTTATGCCTCAATACCCTTTACTTAGCACATGGGTATTTTCAAACATTTATATCTGTATCACCATTCCAACTAAATCCCTAACTATATTATCAATCTGCCTGTGCATGAACACAACTAGTTATTAGTCCCCGTTCGGACGCAGTCCGAAAACGGGGACTTGTGTTTTGCCCTGTGTGCGTCCGTCCGTGCGTCCGTGATCACCTGTATCTCGAACATGCATGGACCGATTAAGTTCAAACTTCACTCATACATCACACATTATATGGGACGTATGCACATGCATTTTTTTCATGATCCGATTAATGATAGCCGAATAGCGGCCATTTTAAGGCCGAAAATGCATCAAAATCGCACATTTTCACCATTCCGGACCCGGATCTCAGTTATGCATGGACGGATTTCATTCAAATTTGGTACATACATTAAACATAATAGGACCTTGATGCACGTCATTTTTTTTTTCGGATCAAGTTCGAAATAGCCGACTGGCGGCCATTTTGTTTTAAAGAATTCAGTTCTGGATCCGTATCCGAGACATGCTTGGATTGATCGAGTTCAAACTTCACACACACAAGGTACATCATGTCACAAATATGTATGTGCATTTGTTTCATGATCTCATTAACGATAGCCAAATGGCGGCCGCTTTAAGGCCGAAAATGCATTGAAATCGCACATTTTCACCATTCCGGACCCGTATCTCAGTTATGCATGGGTGGATTTTGTTCAAATTTGGTACATACATTAAACATAATAGGACCTTGATGCACGTCATTTTTCGGATCAAGTTCGAAATGGCCGACTGGCGGCCATTTTAAGGCCGAAAATGCATCAAAATCACGTATTTTCACAATTCCAGAACCGGATCTCAGTCATGCATGGATGGATTTTGTTCAGATTTAGCACAATATGTTGTACATATGCAGGTGCATTTCGGTCATGATCTGCTTTGAATGTATATGTCACTCAAATATGAACGGAACGGGGACGTGTCATTGACAATGACTTGTTACTAATATGCATATGAAACAAACCATACTATAGAATGGTAGACGAGGAACAGAAATATAGTGATGGATTATTGAGGAGGAAATGCACAATTAATGTGAACGACACTGTTGGGAGAGGGATAATTTTTGTGGGACTGCAAATGAAAACATGGTCGGCTGCCTTGATGTGGAGATTCCGAAAAGCATCCCCACACCTGGGAACAGCATTCAGTTTTCTGGCAACAACAAGCGTAACAGGGATGTAGCTTCCCGACAATAAAAATATGCGATTGGTTGTATGAGGAAAGCAGAGACTCTCTAACCCAACTCTTTTAAAGGTGTTATTAAAAAGTGATGCATCAGAATTGGTTATGAACATGGGAGAGGACATGCATGTTGATGTCATCATTGCATTGGAGATTCTCTATGCTGAAGTGGAGAGTGGTTCAATGTCGGGAGAGAGAGGAAAGAAAGGTGAGGATATAAATGACTATGACATGCAGTTGCAACTGACACTTAATGCAGTCGAAGAATGAGGTACAAACAAGACTGTGTTGTGTTACGGAAACCATTGACTCATTCATTTCCACATACTGGAACTGTGAGAGGCATCAGCAATGCACACTTCCATAGGAAATATGTTAGTGAATTTATTCATTGTATTTTTCTGTGCTTTGTTTCTTGTAATTATTCTGAGAGGTATTAAAGCCAGGAACTTTTACTTGATATTTTATTGTATGTGTATTTCATTTCCATTAATATTGTCTTGTCTACCCCATTCTAGCAGTGAAAGAACCCCCTGTCCAGTGTGAGATACATGGGTGCCCCTCTCAATAGCAATAAGCAGCCCTTGCGCTGTGACAGAGTGGGATGAGATACCAGCTCTCAAAGTGCTGATGTGAGAAATGTCAGTGAAAGCAGTTTGATTTAATTGAAGTGAAGTTCAACATGTCCCAAGTCCAGCTCCATAGACATCAATTGGCTGAGGGTCAGGGCCTTTTTTGAAAACAATGCAGATGTTTTCTCTAAGCACAACAATGACCTGGGGTCTCGCGATTCAGAGAAGCATAGGATAAGACTAACAGATGATAAGCAGATAAGAGAACACCATATGCATGTACCTCCTGCAAATTACAAAGAATTTCAGCATGTTAGACTTTAAATCTGGGTACTAGCAGGTGGTCATGGATGACAGAAATATGGAAAAGACAGCATTCAGCACGCCATTTGGTCACTTCAAGTGTCTCAGGCCACCAATGTGATTTAGCAACCAGTGCCAGCGAGTTCTTTAAGAAAAGTTCTTGTGGTAGAGGGATATATTGCCACTACTAGAAAATCACTAAGCTACTCAATGAGTTTACTACACGATTGTAACAGAGGACTGGCATGGGATTGCCAACTTGCCTGTTGCAACGGTATATTATTGTCACACTACCATTCTGAACTGCAATATTGGTCTGTTAGACATAATGGCGATGTGGATCACATAGGCCACAACAGGGATACATTAAGAATTACACTATTCATAATGGTTGGCTTTATTGGATTCCATTCCAGGGAGCATCAGAACATGTATATGCAGAAGGAGGCTGATGTAGAAATATGAATGGCTTAACACACATCTGCCATGCCTGCTGCAGAGGTTCAATTGGAAGAACTTGGAAGATGGGTGCATTCAATATGGATGAATGAAAAGAGCTACAGTGGAAAGACCCAGTGATTCCCAGACTGTGTTTGTATGCTAGAAAGGCCCATAAGTCTACTCAACATGAGAGAAATGGTGAGATTGCTGAGGTAAAATTGATGTTGAAGGAGTCAAATTATGCAAGAATCAGGTGCAAGAAAATGTGGAAGGAAAGGAATGTTGTTAATTGCTGCTGCCTGAGGCTTATCATGGTTGGGCCATGGAGGCACTTTTAATGTTTTATTTAAGGTTTTATTGGCCCAGAATGGATCAAGATATGAATGCAAATGTGCATACAGGTCATAGGTGTACAAGGCACAATCTGATCTCTTTGATCTGCATTCCGTTAGCGAGCATCAACAAATTCAGCCCTTTGAACTTTTGTGCATGGGCTACCTTACCCTGGAGCCATCAAAAGTGTGACGTAAGAATATCTTGGTCGGGATTGATCATTTCACACCCTATGCAGTGGCAGTGCCTACAAAACCAGAATGCAAAAACTACAGCAGTGACATTAATGGAGCACTTTCTGCTTCACTATGGTTTTCTAGCAGACTTCATTCGGACCTAGACCAGAACTTTGGGACTAAGGTGATTCAAGAGCTACCTCATATATGGGAGACAACCACACTTACATATGAATACCTGGGCCTGCAAAAGAAGTATTCTGGTAACAGAGTGCTTATCTGTACATAGGAAGCGCCGATACGCAATTCTATGAAAGCCATTACTTCATAATACCAGGATAGGTAGGATCTCCTGTTTAACTAGCATATCTTTTACTGTGATGGCCAGGATGATGTTGATGACATGGGCACACATGTTCAATATTTGTAAAAGCCACAGTAAGTGGAGATAAATAATGCCATTGAGGCAATACAGTACACAGGTATCACTTTGGTTGTATGTCCAACAAATGGGTTAGCTTAAAGATCAGGCCGATTTAGAGGGGAAACGAGGCATGGTGTCTAACTCGTATAGTTGAAGCATTGCTTGTCCAAGAGTCATAGCTGCCCCCAGCCTGGATTATACCTGGCATAGAGCCTTGCTAGCCCGTCATCAGGGCTGCACCACAGGGGCCCTGTGGGCTGCACAACCCTGATCATGTTCGCACCCCCTGTAAACAGTGTAGCTAGTATTTCTCACTTGCACCCAGCTTGGCTTTTATAAACTACCTCCAGTTTCTCTGAATCATGTTTCTGATGTAAATTGACAGGTGAATTGTCTAGTGGATTTTTCAGTTCACTTTGTTATATATATGCTAGATCAAATCGTCACAATCCATGACTGCTTTCCAATGAGATGTTCAATAGTCAGCTGCTGCTGCTGCTACTCCACACATACAACACAAATTGATGCCTGAATACAAATTGCTAACCATGTTTCTAGTATCATATCATCACTTTATAAGCAGTCTAAAATACAAGCTTAGCACGTTTCTTCTCTGTAAGCAGACTGTTC